TTTTTGTCTTTCCTTGTTCTTTCCTTGCTCTGCTCTTTCTGATTCCTCCTTCATTCTAGTTTGCCCTCTCTTCTCCCCTTCCCCTTCAAGCCTCCCCTCCAGCACACTCGCATCGATCGCTTTGATTGAGGACATTGACTCAGGTTTTGTCAGGTCTTTTTTTTGCTTTTAAGATGGCACACTAGCCCTCCCGTTCAATCAACTGCCATCTGCAAAAAATGTCTAAAAATGGCTGTTATGCCATCTTATCCAGCGTGAGTCAAATGCCATCTATGTGTGACCCACTATATATTTATGTGTTTGCCTCTCTGCTTCTACATATGTTTGCAGAAGAGTCATTGTTCTGCTAAGATGGCACTCCGGCTCAGCTTGTACACTTCCACTTCTAGCTACTCCTGTCTACTCCCTAACATGGCACACCGGCCCAGGGGCCCTGTACAGGCCCATGAGGTTTGGACACCCCCTTTATTCCTTCTTAGTTAATGTAAAATTATGCCATCTATATGGTACTTCCTATAGAATAATATGTAAGATAACATAGGCGACAACAGGACATAGGCGACAATGATAATGATGCTTGTCGAATGTCCAAAAGCCGAACAACAACCGCAGGGCCTCGGGTAATTGCATTGACACCTCGAACAAGTACTACAAGTTGTTGGTAAAATCAGGATCCGTTTTCCTCCCATTTCAATTCTTGTTGATTGGTTTAGCCCCGCTGCCCAGGTTGTCGATGGTGGCAGAGGAGCGTCTCTAAGCAAATGCTGCCTGACCAGGGCAGATTAGCCTGAAAAGTGCGTCGAAATCCATAGAATCCCTGCAGATTTTCCGTTGGTTTCGGTCCATCCGTCAAACCTACAATATCGAAAACACTTCTCTGCACATTTTGCGTATTCACGGAGAAAAATGTGTTTTGGGCACCACGAAGAGAGCGACGGTCGATGGCCAGTCTTTGACCTGCATAACTTTGCTCATGGCAGATTGCGAAGTTTGGATCGTTCTCAGTTCTCACCACCAAGACTTAGCAAGGTTTGCGGTCGCTGACCATTTTTGACCACTATGCTCCAGAGCCATGAGGCAGGTTGTGTACACACCGTATCACCGGAGTAGAAATCTCCAGCTTTGTCCCGGAAACTACCGGGGCACAAACATAACTGCAAAGCAGTCTGAAACGTGCGCGTTCGGAGAAAATACAAAAACAGAGTGTCTTTGCTTCACCAGATGGTTCAGGTTATAACACCGCTCTGGCACAAAGACCGCGGGTCCTGCTCGAGAAAGATACATATATAATTAGCAATTACTCTTGGACTCTTGTATATTAGAAAGATTTAGAAAGCAGAAGTTTGGATCAACCCTGCTGTGGTCAACTGGGGAACGGTGTATGTTCGGGGGTGTCTCAATGCGGTCCACCTGTGGTAGGGAAAGCAGATACTCTGAACGTTGGCGACCTATCCGGGGCAACCCCACATGAGTTAGTGCAGGTCCAGTAACGGGATAGTAAATATATACTATATACCAATTATGTACCATTAGAGCCGTTTAGAAGCCCTGAGCCCTTCGTCGGGACTCTCAGAACTCATGCCTGGCATTTCTTTGGAGCTTTGCGCCCTTTCAAGAACACACATTTGAGGCTTCTTTGCAAATGGTTTGCCACTAAGAACTGTCAGCGCACCTCACTCTAATCTGCACGCACCGCTCCTTTCACTTCTCAGCTCCTTCTCGTTAAACACCAAAAGCTACCGCTAAAGATCCCCAGTTCTTTTTTTCGCACTTTTGGCAGGTGCCTATATCGAGCAGGACAGGTATCTCTTCTCCGAAGGGTTGAGCATCTCGCTGTAGAGTGAGGCTAGGAAAGTGTTGGAAAGACCCCAGCTCAGAAAAAAAAGAAACATCCAACCTCATGTGTGGTGGGTGAAAATATGCTGGAGGCGGCCGTCCTTCATATTGCTAGTTTGGCATCAGTTTACACGCGTTGGGTTAATTGCAATCATTTCATAGAGATGATGACTCTAGACTCTAGTTGGTGCGTGATGTATTGAATCTCTGCCAACTGTTGAACTTCAATGAACTATGAATTCACATACAGTAAGCCTTTTGGAAGTTACTAGGCCTTATCGATATTTCTCGGCGTGATATCAGGCAGCATGCAGCGTTTTGGCGCAAACTGCAAAACTTCTGTTCGGTGTCTGGGCACCTGCACTTTCATACACCGAACCATTCGATGAGATGCACTATATCTAGAAAATCTGGCTTGAATCCTAAGAGCGATGGCCTCCAAAGAGCCATGGCCTCCAACCTACTAGCGATGGCCTCCAACCTAAGAGAATATCAAGATAATTTGGCTTGAATCCTGGAACCCCGGTCGCGCAAGGAACGGCCCTTTGGCACCATTTTCGATACCAAGGACTGGACACCTTGAGGCTCTTGGAACACGTCAGGTGCTGCTGGTGGAAATCCTGGAAAACTACCGATCTGAACTGATCTGCATACCACGATATTGCTGTATATTATGCTACAAGCCTTCTCGTGGAAAAGTCTGCCTCCCGGCCATGGTTTAAGCCTCGGCGTCGTGACCCCCACTCCGAGAGGAGGACACGGATGCGGCCTTTGAAACCGCCGCGGAGAAGATCCTGCAGGCGATCGTGACGAAGAGGCCGGGGCGGGATTGGGCCAGGCCTTCGGGTTCGAAGAAGCTAAGTGGCTCCTGCTTTCGAAGATTGAGCTCAACGAACCTGTGAACTTCGAACTTTCAACGATTTGCAGACTTCAATATACGTTTTTGTGCCTTTACAAACACGGCTGAGCCGCTTGATTTTCTATTGGCTTTACATTACATGGGCAGAGCGGTTGATGGCACCAAGATTTTTGCTCCAAGCTTCCAGCCGGGAGATGGCCTCGGAACCGCAAGTCTGGGGTATCGTAGCAGATGATCGAATCATTTCTGGGGTTCTGTGCATTCAAAGCTAACTAAGTTTCAGAGATGGCGTGGCCATGCAGTAAATGGGGGTTCTTTAAGTCGAACTGCTCCATTGTATCTTCATGCCAGGCCATCCGCTGCACTCATGCTTGCCACGCACAATCGATCTTCTCTCTTCAATGCGGTGCAGATGATGGAGAAACTAGGAGCCTTGGAAAAGCCAAAGAAATGCAGCTAAACACACGTCTTCGTTGGTGTTTCGGTTGTTTGTTCCACCACCCAATATTTTTCCTCAAAAATCACATTGCAGTAGCCAGAGGGGTTGGGATAAATCCCCACCATCCTCCAAGCGCCTAAGCCTGGGAGAAATCGCAAAAATTGGTTCGAGACAATGTTCAAATACGCCGTGCCCACCACCAGAGCCACCCACTGTCCACACGTTCACAGGGCTCCCCTAGGCCCCAGATGTTGGACACAGGTGAACACAGGTGGCGATGATGCCATGGATCGCCACCGTATTCGACAGTGTTTTCCTTGCCTAGTTGCACAATGTTGCAATATATTACACATCTAATCTATGGTACCCTTGTGGATCCTTCCAGTATCTTCCAACAAAATGGTTCAGAAGGGGGCGATCCAGCAGTTCTAGCTGGAACCAGAACATGGGTGGGAAATGACAAAGCACAGCGGAAACGGGCGTTGTTTCATATGGCCTGGCAGGGCTTGCCCGCAATGATCAGCGAGTTCACTTTGCTCAGATCTTGGGCATGGACGTCCTGACATGCTTAAGATTTTCGCACCCAACCTGGTTTCACGAGATGTGTGCGCACTTGTTTTTTGAACATTTCAGGTGTCAGTCTGTGCGTTCGTTAGTTAGACTTTGTCAAGTGTCCCATCAACATCCTGAGAGTAATGCAAGGACTTATGTGAGTATGTTGCGGTGCAAACCTACTAGTCTTGTCTTCTTGGAATCGGGTCACTTAGCCTTTTGTGTTCCTTTCCTGGCCGATATTTTTTCATGGCTCATGATGACAGAACTTTGCAGCTCCAGGTAGACAATCTGACGTATGCTTTGGGCTTGGCAGGCTACAATGTCTTGTGCTCAGAAACAAAAACACATCCAAGGGTTAGATTTGATCCACTTTTGGAGATGATGACCTGAAGGTTGCTACTTTGGACAAACACTTCTGCTCATCACTCATGGACCCTGTGATCGTATTCCTAGCTTCTTGTTGAACATATTGACAAGGAGTCCATTCGTGAAATGAGAAGGCATCCCAAATGGTGCTTCATATTCACACCTTGGTGCAATGGTTGGGTAGCTTTGAATCTACGCGCAAGAGAGGATTGGATAACCAAGAATGTCTTGAATGTGTGATCAATGACTCTCTCACCTAGCGCCAAGGCCTCAAAACTTCTGGTCTTTGGACAGATCCATGAGGCCTTGGATTTATTAGGCCTGGAATTCTAAGGATTCTGTCACGCATGTTCTTATTCTTTCCCGCATGCTTCATCTCAATGTTGAGAGCTTCGATAGCTGTGATAGTTTGCTCATTTCTCATATAGAATCTAGAAAATATTAGATGTTTATCTTTGTTGAATTGGAAAAGGACACCACAGAAGCTGCACATTTGATTCAAGAGTCCCGACTTTCAGGTTCTTCCGTGGTTGCTGAGTGGTCCTCAGATTTTTTGGTATGCAGGTACATCACATCCACTTATATAATCTTAAATAGGCATTGGACACGGTGGTGGTGCACAATTGTGCAACTCTACCCACTCTGCCAGTATGGTGGCACAGAACTTGGCATTTTGAGAAGCTTGCTTCGCCCAGCTTACTTCAGTGTCAACCCACGAAAAACGTTCAGCTGAAAGTGTCATCGTCTCACTCCGAGAGTCCAAGAGGTGACGTCACGACACGCCGACAGAGTCTGAGGCGCCGCACGCGGGAGAACCGAGATGCATTTGGGGCTCAGGTGGCAAGCTGCGCGAAGCTACGCAAAGCGGGAAGCAGGGAGGTTTTGGATGGAGCTCTTTTCTGTACAGATCCATTTACATCCATTTACTACATCCGCATGCGCCATGCGTGTGTCATCAGGCTTTCTTCTGGCAGACTGCATAGAGGTGGCACCACGTTAGACCGTTAGACTTGCATCGACCCATTGCTTTCCAGGTAATAATAGTTGATTTTGATGGTCTATTGCTCGCTACACTTTCAACGGGATGCAAACCCGGCGTGAATCCAGCAAAAGGCCAACCAGGGAGTTGTAGGAACCTGCAGCCTCCCAATTTGGCCGCGAGGCGCACGAACTCCCAGTGCTGAGAAATGAAATCCGCAGGAGGTTGCTTGGGCGCCTTGGGCGTGTCCCAAGGTAGCGCTTGGGCTACTCTCTTCCCCAGCTACATTCCAGTGAAGTCTCTGGAGTGGAAGGTTTGACATATTAACACTTGATTCAGTTGGTCAAGTGGTACCCTTTCTCCAAGCCGGCACATCAAGAGGAAGATAGTAACACGAGCACAAGACTCAGATTGAGTTGCCTAGACATGAGCGGCAGTGATAGCGAAAATGAGTGAGACACAGCAGATTCTAGCGTGGTGTGAGGCTGAACAAGTCTGTTAAGGCGCTTCGCCTCGAATGCGAGAAAACGAGAAAAGGGTATGTTATGTTTGTTTTGGCAATATGTTTCAATGTCAGCAAGTGGGGAGGTATTTGCAATTTATGTTGTTCAGCCTCTAGACACAGGCCTTCCAGTTCACACAGGTCCCAGACAGCCACAAAGCCAAGGTCGTTGGATATGTCGAGACACCACATCTTTGCCTTGATTATCCAAAGGGGATCATGCATCAAATTCCGTGACAGCTGCCCTTCATCAAGTATTGGACGGGCTTTGAACACGTATTTTTGCTGCGAATTGAATTGGGGCACGTGCCCTTACCGGGCAAGATCCTACACCAATGGTCAAAGAAGAGGTTTTGTTCGTTTTTGCAACTGCAACACAGTGAGGTCTTGTGATGGACTGCATATACTAGCGGTTATAGCTATGATTATGGAGGAGCTGTTTCCCAACCATCTCACCTGCAGTCAAAGACGTGCTTTCAGGCATGCTGCCCATTTGTGACCCTGCTGTAGGTTCAAGAGCCCTCGGGCCTAGGTAGGGAAACCAATCCCCATCGCGCAATGCAGTGCCGGACTCAATCTGCGTTTTGAGTGCCAGTAGGCAGGATGGTCCATTGGATGGGTGCTTTTGTCCCCCTCCCTCTGAGAATGAAGTGAAAAAGCATGTTGCGGTCCCCACCCATTTGCACCGCTTTAGCATTGGTTGGCATGCAGCCGCTTCCGCTAACTCAGAATTTGTCATCCAGGGTACCTAGCTGCAGTAGACTGACCCTGTAAATCATTTCTTGTTTTAGTTTGAGACTTTCTTGATTTTTTGAATAATAGTCAGTGAAGTTCGATGTGTTCCTCTCTGACGAGGGAATTGAGAACTGGCTGCTCCATAGGTGAAGGAGCCCTTGTGTCATGCAGTACATACCTTTCAAGATCCAGAAGATAAGGGAAGAGCCAATTTGAACTAATTACTGTATATATTATAGATTGTCATTTTCACAGACCTGTACCTGGTTGAATCCGCAACAAACAAATTGTCCAGTGAGTTTTGATTGTTTCAACACCAGAAACGTCAAACCCTCCGTTCTACCTTGAAGCCTGCGAGCTCAGCTAAGGCGCCTTACTGGGGTTGCCTGGTTTGCAATACCGAGATGTCTCGCCCAGCTTGGTACTGTAGTCTGAAGATATCTAGGCTAAGCGGCTTGGGAAACCACGAGTTCTTCTCATGGGCCTGATGCCTTTCTCGACCGTGGATAGCTCTGGAGCCTTCGGAGCTTCGGAGTTGGTGACACGTAAAAAGTCAGGTGAAGTCTCGTTGACTCGAAAGGTGCCAAAGCTGATTCAGCGAGACTTTCTTTCCGCGCATTTTCGTCCAACTCAGCAAGAGCTTGTCGCGTTCACAAAATGCCTTAGTATGCAGACAGACGTGTAATGACATGTATTATCATTATTATCATGTACCTGTATGCAAAGATATGCGTTTGTCAGGATTTACACAAATTGTGAAAGGTCACCTAGGCGTTGCAGAGCATTATTGAAGTCCTCAGTTATTGCACCCCCCAATGTAACTGGGGTGACAACTGCCAACAAAAGCTTGTCAGTTGTTGTCGTCGTCGTCGTCGTCGTCGCTGCCATAGTTCTCAAGTTTGACAACTGTGTGCACCAAAGAAGAGGTTGGTTGACATGTTTGCACTCCTGGCTGCCTGTTGGACTAGCGACAGCACAGACCACCACACTTGTCGTCTATCCAAGCTAGCACTGTTTCTTGATGTCTTGCGTTTATGGTGAACACAGTTTAAAATATGTGACAGGTCCCGGGCAATACAAACCTTGGACCTGCCAAGAGGTTCGAGATAATCCTAGTGGACGTGTGATTCCACTCAAAACACGCATGTGTGAGTCCCCGTTAAATTAAGGGATGGCCAGGACCATACCTTAAAAGCCTTGGAGCAAAGTTCACTCCCCAAAGTTGGTGCACCAAGCCAGAATTTACAGGTACCCGAACTGCAGCGCGTGCTTCGTGAGAAAGTGACTCCTTTTCTAACCTTGCAGCGTTTGCAGCCTGTCTTCGACTGTCTTCACCGCACTGCCCTCGGACCATTCCGAAGAGTCACAGACTGCAGGTCTTGAATCCTGCATACTGGCGGAGGTTGAAGCAAGTCTTCATTCGCAGAATTGGCTGAGATTGGGCGTCCAGCACACGCAGTTCCTTTGGTGCTTCTGTCCTTGCTTTTCTTGTCGAGGTGTTGGCCGCGGGTTCTGGTTTATGTCGTCATTGTCGCGCTTGTACCACACTTATTTCTTCTTCCAACCACCCCAGCATGGCGATAAAGCCTGCTGTGGCCTGATTTCAGGCCTAATTTGGTTCCTTGGTTTGAACATGCTTGATCTGGGCACGCTGCTGAGGTAATGCTCAGCACCAACATGATGAAGTCCTGTAGTACAGTTGAGGAGAGTGACTTTAGAGCTGCTGGGGTGGCTGGGCCGTGTGTGGAAAGGAGGCGAGGGTCCTGAGTCATGCAAACTCTTTCGCAAGGGTGCTGGAGCAATCCCCATGCACAGTTATGCCCAAGAGCCTAGAATGTTGCTGGTGGTGTAGAGAAGCTTTGGTGTCCAGCAGTGCCCTTTGTTCTTCAAGCTTGTGGTTTGCTTGGGTCCACTCACGCTTTGTAGATTGATTTGGAGATGAAGCCATGTTTTTGCAGATGTCGCGATTTAGAGCAGTTGGACAACGGATGCGACACTGCATTGGCTTCGCAATTGGATTCAGATGTTTTCTTTGTGTGGTTGACAAATTGCGGCACCTCCGACGCCTGTGACTGCACGTCAGCGCATGCCTGGAATAGGATGAAACCGTGCTTCTTTAATAACCATCCTTAATCTGAAGTAGGTAGGTCCGTTGCTCACGATGTCATTAATAATTGTTGATATTTCGATTGTTTACTAGACAGCCCAGGCTGCAAATGTTTTGAGTGTCCAGCTATACTATACCCTCATAAATCCAATTTGACTTGTGGTTGATGAACATCCATGCTGGGCAGCATGGATTTTAATGCACGTCTGAGTCTTAAGAGCAGTTCTTTTTTGGCTAGGAAGTGAGGGGAGCCTCCACACAGTTTGTTGGACAAGTGAATCAGCACGAAGATTGAATCATCGAATGAAGTGCAGCACTTGATAGACATTCAAGAACTTCAATTTTGCAACAGAAGACTTTTTTAAATTGAAATTAATTTTCTATTCTTTTCCAACATATGGGCTTCCTGAAACTTCCAAAGCGCACTGGGAATACGAGCAATCATGGACACGCCTTGGTCCAGCTTGTAGATGCAGAAGGACAAAGGAAGGGACACATATTTAAAAGGCCTTATTGACTGATCCTTCTTTTTCATAGTTCTTCTTCTTTTGCTTCCTCTTCTTCCTCTTCTTCTTCCTCTTCCTCTTCCTCTTCCTCTTCCTCCTCTTCTTCTTCTTCTTTTTCTTCTTCCTCTTCCTCTTCTTCTTCTTCTTCTTAGAACAGATTTCTCTTCTTGAAAAGCTTCCAGCTTGTAGATTCTTCCATGAAAAGGACTTTTTGCTGGTCTATGAGCGTGAGTCCATCAAGCTTGGCCAGCGGTTGATGCAGTGCTTGTGCCTGAGAGTGTGAATGATCCACTGTGGCACGTGTGTGGCTCATGGTCAACATGTTTGGAATCTCCACTTGCAACATTTTTGAGAGTATATTAGGGCCAGCACTATGGCACTCTTCTTTGATGGTCAAGTTGTCAAAGTCTAGTTGGACAAGTTGAAGTTGGAGAGGTGTGCTATGTCCCTTGTGAAGAGGCCAGTCAGTACTCCGGAGAGACTCCTCAGAAACAGAGGTCCAGAAGCATCATGGTTTCCAGAAGAGGCCTGGAATTGCCACATGACATGTTCGGACCTTTCAGAACCGGAGCATGTAATTATTGTTTTTTGACAGGCATTGCGGCATAGTGTAAGGCAGAAGTTTATCAGTCAGAATGAACTCCGTTGCCGCCAGTCGATTTGGTTAATTTGACCTGCAGGGGCTGGACATGAATCCAACTCTGTCCTTGAGGGTCAAAGCTGCTGTTCCTTACATATATAGCGGAAACCAACAAGAGGGTCCCTGGACAAAGGTGCAAACTCCGAATTATACAATCATTGGACAGTCTTTCTTTGCCATATATTTGTGCAGGCTCCAAAGCTGTTGATTCATTCAAAGAGTGTTTATATATATATATATAGTGGTTGGTTAGTAGATTGATGTTTGGCCGCTTCTTGACCTCTTGCCAATCATGAAAGGTTGATTATACTATACAGGCAGGCTGTCAAGGAAAGCTGCCTGAATGGATTCTTCACCACTTCAGCAAGAAGGACAATTGGTTCCGTCCATCCTGTGGAAAAGAAAGTTGCCCAGCATGAATGAACTGGCTTTGGATTGTTTTTGTCGGATGTCCAAACCATGTTCGCTCAAAAATGGATTTGTCATGATTTGGGGAAATCAATAATAAAATGTGTTTGAAAAGGCACCTCCTTTGATTGGTATTTACATGTATTTGCAGAGAATGGAGGACCAACAAAAGTTGGACACGTGCAATCTAGGAACCACATGAATAGTGCGTGAGCTATCCTGTGTCCAGTAGATAGTAGCTTACTTGTTTGTTTAACTAAGGGCTGGCTCAAAGCAAGAATAGAAAAAAGAACAACTAAGAAGGATGGCAGGTTTGCCCCATGAGTTGGCCCGAGGCATGCGAAGCCTCCGACTACTCTC